TAGCCTTGGATGGATATATATATAATAATATATATATATATATAAAAAAATATAAAATTATTTTGTTGTTGTTGTGTTTTGGTTTTTTGTATTTTTTTTGTCCTGTGTTTTTTTCAGCTGCTCTGTGGAGAGGCTGAATATCTACAGGGATCTGGTGTTTGTTGGTGGGAGCTGAAGTGGTGCAAATCTATTTAAGCAGAAGCTTTGGCATGTTGAGTGCTGCAAGCCTGGAATCATCAGCTCTGGGTGGTCCTAGTGGGGCTGCACAGGATGAGTAGAGTTAATTCACTGGAAGATGCTTGTCCAGAGACTGTTGTCCTCATCTGCAGTTTCCTCTTTTTGGAAGCAGGGGAGGAGGCTGGACCAGGGCTGCCCACAGCACACAGAGTGCTCAGACTGGCAAGTTGCTTCCTGCTTTTCTCCTCTGGCATATCCCAGAACTCCTTTGCTTCCTAATTGCTGCCAATCCCATGTTTACACCTGGTCTCAGAAGCAATGTCCCTCTTGTTTACCTTACTCTGTATGTATTGCTCAGGTCTCTCACCAGCCTCACTCTCCCTTCCCTGAATAACTTGTTCTCACTTTCCCCTTTTCTAGGTCACTTATGGATGTGCTGAATTGCAGAGATCTCAGAAAACCAACCACTGTGTCTCATTGCTTCTCCTTAACAAGGTCTTCTGAGCAGGAACCTTCTTTAGTCTATCTTGAAAACCTTGAGGAACCTTGTCTGAAGATCCTAGCTGGTGGCATTTGGGATTGCCCTACCTTTGGGGTGATGCCAGCCCTTGGTGGGGTGCTGTGGATTGGCTGGGGTCCCCTTTCCAATGCTGTGTATGGTGACAGACTGGGCCTGAAGGCCAAAGGAGGCTTTTGGCCTGGCAGAGAAGGTTTCCTGTTCCTATGCTTGGCAGGATCTCGTGGGGTATCAGGAGCTTGCTCCCTGTGGCAGAGAGCTTTCCTAGGCACTTGAGTTCCTCTGTTTAGGCTGCTGTAAGGGCTCTGAGTAGCTGCCTTCCCCTTCCTCAACCATGTGTCTTCCATTCTGTCACAAGGACTTACCCAGCGACACATCATGGGACCATTTAGAAGCCCATCAGGGATGCAGATTTCTATCTGCTTGGAAGAAACATCCATTCTGGGGCCTGAGCACACTCAGATCCTGAAATATTGAACAGAGACTGAGTCTTCACGTGGCTGTGGTGTCTGTGCCACCAGGCTCTGCACAGCCCTCCCCTGCCAGGGATGGCCACGCAGCTTCTGGGAGTGCAGTGCCAGCCCTCCATGTAGCTCCTGCTGATGTGCAAGTGGTGAAGTCCCCAAGGCAGCCAGCAGGCAGGGACCCTGCCACTGCCCACTGCATCTGGGCAGGAGGTGGCCCTGGGTGAGGCACTGAAGCATCAAAGGGAGTGAGCTGTGCCAGGAGACTGTAGGACTGAGCCTGGCCATGGAAAGTGTTTCTGGAGCACTCCTGGAAGCATCCTGCTTCCCTAGACAAGGCAAAGCAGCAGCTGGGTGGGGTCATTCATGCTGTGGGATGGAGGAGGGGATGGGAAGGGTGCTCAGTGGTGTTGGAGGGATGGGTTGTTGCACCCCTCAGCAGTCTTGAGATCTGCCAGGCAGGAGAAGGGCTCTGCACACTCATGGGGGTTGGCAGCAGCCCACTGGGGTGTTCCCTGGATGGTGGCACCCCAAGACTTCCATGATCACTGCCTACCCTTGAGGGCTTCAGCTTCCTCCTGAGTTGATGTGACAGGCATCTGTCTGCCCTGGGAAGGCTGCCAGGGGCACAGGAGCCCAAGGAGGGGTGTGTCTTCTCCTGTAAATGGGAGAAAATTCTCTGCTTGGAGGAGTCTGAATGCAACTGCCCCCAAAGGGGCACGGGGGGCAGAGGCTTTGCTGCCTGCTCCTGTGTGCTCAGTTGGCTGCTGTGTCCAGCCTAGGAGCAGGGCAGGCATCTTCTGCTGGCTTTGGTGGCAGAAGAGGTTTAAGAAGATACAACCCACCTCATCTGGGAAAGGAGAAATGGCCAAGCAAAAACCAAAATGTGGCAGCAGGCTGCTCCTGCCCTGCCAATTTAATGGGGCTGCTCCAGTGTGGGAACAGGCCAGGAGATGGGGTCTGGCTTGGAGCTCCTGGTCCCACCATGTGTTTTGCAACCCAAAAGCATCTGGCCCTGTTTGGTGCCATTCTGAGCATCTGGGCATTGGTGCAGTCTCAGGACCTTCTTGTGGCTTGTTTGGGACTGGCTTGGTGAGTGACAACCCCATGCAGTGCAACATGGAGCTCCATCTCATTCCCAGAGTCTTCCATTTTCCCTCCCTTCTCTGTCTGTGGTGGCTGCTCTTGTGGTCTCCTGCTCCTTGTTAATGTTAACCAGTGTCTTGGTGACCTCTGTCATGCATAACTTCCCTTTCTAGGTCTGTGCTGATTTACAAGAAATCTTGGCAGCTTCATCACACTCCTTCCTAGGGAAATAGGCTGCAAGCCAGTGTCTCCCAGTGTAGGAGAAGTGTCTGTTGGTCAGACAGCTGAGCAGAGTTCTCCCAAGCCATGATGCTTCAGAGCTGTCTCTTCTTCCTGGTTATTTGTGTGAATTGTTGCAGATCATTCCAACACACTGGCTGTTGAAACCTTCCCCTGGTGCTCTGGTTTTTATTTTAAGTGCTGAGGGCACTTGGACTAGGTACATAACTTCTACAGCTTGGCAAGACCAACAGCCTACATGGGCTTGGTACTGCACAGGTGGTTTTTGGCTGGGCACAACAGGACAAACAGCAGAAGAGATGGTTTAGGAACAGCTTCTGAAGCATCTTATATGTGTTGATGAAGGAGTTGGGATGGACCCAAAAAACCTCCTCCCAACAGTGTTCTGGAGCTCTTGCAGAAGTCAAAGGTGTGAGTAGAGCGGTGAGGGGCTTCATAAAATCCAGGGCTGTCTTTGAATCAGTAAATGCCAGTGTGGGCCAAGAAAAGGAGATGATCTTCAGGAGGGACAACTGGGGTTTGTGCTGGTCTCTTCTGGACCTCTGATATGTGTCAAACTCCGTGTTGGTGCTTTTGGCAGTGTATGATCTTCCAGCAGTCTTAAGCTTTGGTCATGGAGGTCTGGCCAAGCTGTGGTGTCCCTGCCCTCATTGACCCAGACTGTTCTGCTAGGAAGGAGTTTTTGTAAAGCCTTTGTGGCTGAGAGGACTGGGTGCACTTTATCTTTGCCTCTGCTCCTCTCATGTAGGGAAGGGCTAGTGCCTGCAAGGCCACCTTTGGTGTGAGGTGCCCTAACTGCACCAAGCTCCTGAACTAAGCTCTCTGCTCCTGTTCTGATGTGAAGCATCTCCTTTCAGTAGACCTTGTTGGCTTCTCTCCTAGGTACGGACGCTGTTTGTCAGTGGCCTTCCTGTGGATATCAAGCCCAGAGAGCTCTACCTGCTCTT